GAGGTCAAAGAGGAAAGAATGAACAAAGTAGCCACCACTGCTCATTGCTCACAATCGGCAGTTGGCTGGTTGGTTGTCGGGTGGGGGGTTGTATGGAGGAGGAGGGGTTGGGTGGGTGGGGGGTTGCACAGTTCAAGGTTGTGTGTGAAATACCAAGACCATGCATAAGGAGTTCATATGCAAGCATAGAGGAACATCCTCTTTTCTCAAAAAGTAGTTTCTTTTGATTGTACACACAAAGTTACTTGTGTCAGAACGTTTACTACTAGAAATCCAAGCCAGGAGGCGAAGAGTCATGGGAGTGAGTTGAAACTAGACCAAAACAACTGCAAGGGAAGGGAATCATGGAAAGGATTTGAAATGCTACCTGAATGCAACTGAATGGCTGGCTATTGCCACGAGAAGGCAAACAGTTCCATCGTGTATGTGGGTTTGAGTTTTGGCTGTCTCTCCCGTCGATGCCTTCCTCGGTGCGTGGGTTGTACAGCTAGCTTTTTAATCACGACTAATTCGTGATCCAGAGTGACGCGCGAAGCGCGAAGGACGACCATGGCACCACAAGATCTTCAAGGCGACAGCGGCAGCTTTTCTCACCACAGAGTGTGGTTTGTAGCTATTCATTCTCTGGTCAGCATGAGCTCCATCTACAGCACCACTCTGCACCGCATGGCCCATAGGGTTGCTGCGTCTAGTAGAAGTAGATTACTGTTGCCTGGATTGGCGTCTTCCTCGTCCGAATGGCCACAACAACGCCGATGGCTGGCCACTCCCAAAAAGAAAAAGGGCAAAGGGAAGCGTTCGATTAATGGAAGTCACGGATCTCGTGGTCACGGATGGTACATCAAGTATCGGGAAGGTCGTGGAGGTCGGTCGTTGCAGGGCGAATACTGGGATCGCAATCAACATCACTGGGATTTGCAACACTGGAACGATGCCGTCTTGTCGCTAGGAAGTCAATTTGTCTATCTGGATATTGCCGTGGAACCGCCGACCACGGGAGGAGATGTCGTTGCTGCTTCTCCATCTGTGGCGGAAGACAGTGAAGATATTTCTGTGGCTGTGCCAAAGGAAGAAGAGTCCGAAGAAAATGATGCTACAGGTACTTCTACCAGTGCCGAGGCTCCCGAAAAAGACAAGACAAGTTTTACTGTGGATCAACCCTCTATTACCACGGAACGTTTGATTATGCAAGTTGCATCCACCGTCATGCCCGAGACCTGTATCAATTTTATAGGTCTGATCCAAGAAGCTGCCTACAAGAATACCATCTTGTATCGAATTGAACGAGAAGTGGGTATTTGTGGAGGCGACGTCTTGACCAATACGGGCGGGACCGGACAATGCTGGCAATCCTTTCCGTACGACAACGCCGTACCCAATACGCGGATTCGACCCAGTCCTTTGCGTCGCGATTTGCCACCTCCGGCGGACGAACCCTTGGCGATGTGGCACACGGCCGGAACTGTGGCCATGCTGTGTGCCAAGGTCAACGAAATTGACTCGAGATTCATTCTTTGCGCTCATGACAGCCCTCATTTGGATGGCATTCATCGAGCCTTTGGAAAGCTCACACCCGAATCCTTGGCCGTCATTCAGGAATGGCAAACATCTGTCTTGACGTCCTACGGAAAACCCAAGAGTGCTACCTTGCGGATTGTCGATTGTGGGGTATTGGAAGATTACAAGCAGGAGGACAGTGCTGGAGGTAGTCAGGAAGAAGTGGCCGCTGCATAGCTTGCCATGGTAAGAATGAATCCTACTATTAACGAAGGGAGCATCGCATCAAGACATGATTGGACTACATGTACATGTACAGCAAAGGCAGGCTATGACAAATTTTCATTATTGAATACTGGACGGCGATGGCTCGTTCCGCGAAGGCTGGTCCAACGCATGTGTACTCGTACAACCATTTCATGCCTGGAGGCAATTTCATTCCAGCATTCCAGCGGTTGGAGGAATGACCCGTCGATGTAGATTTTGCTGCTGAGCCAGCCAGTAGAAGCAATGGAGCCACAGCTGTGGTGGCACAATTTTCTTGTTTTCGTTGCGTAGTTTGGCTTGTACTACCGTACTATCGGTAGCTAGTCTAGCTAGTAGTAGGGAGACGACAGAAACAGTTCAGCTTTACAAATGACATTCTATTATTGTACCGGCGGGGGCCACTGGAACCGATACCGCGGTGACATTGGCACCGGTACAGGTACCAGGTATCTTGGACGTTTCGAGCTTGAATGGGTCTGCATATTAGCTAGCTTATTTCATCCACGCTTCAGGGGGGTGCCTCAAATCACCTCCACTAGACTGACTGTTTCCTCCTCCAACCTAGAATGTCTACAACCAACTTTTTCAATGTTGTTTCTGTGTTACTAATGTTAGCCTATACATTTCCCTATTCATTGCCCCCATCACCACTTGTTGTCATTGTTGCATCGTTGTTGTAGTTGTGGTTTGCCCTCCCATCACTGTTGTTGCTGTTGTTGTCTTAGCCAAAGAGGAAAGACATGAAGCCAAAATAGGAAGAAGCCGGAGGCTTCTTGGGAGTGGCAGCCCGCTTCTTAGGAGTAGAGGACTTGCCTCCATCCATGTCAACGTCGTCATCATCACCACCGCTACCCTTCTTGGGGGTGGTACGCGGCTTCTTGGCACGGCCACCTCCACCAACAAAATTGTCATAATCATGGTAGTCGTCGTCATCACATTCGTCCCATGATCCATCAATGCGGAGGCCACCACTTTTTCCACGGAACTGGCGAGGCTTGTCTTCCTTGAAGAACACAGTGACCACATAGGATGGAGCAACCGTGGCACCACTGCCAGTGGAGGCAATGTGATCAATCTCATAGAGGGATTGATGATCGCGAACTGGACGTTCACGGAGGCCAAGCGCCCATGGATCAAGAGCCACAAGCTCACTCTTCCGCCCATCCGGCCAGGACACAGACACCTCCTCCTTCTCATAATCGACACCAGCAGCAGTGTCCATCCAGCACACATCACCAAGCTGGGTGGCAATGCGGGCTGCCAAATCCGCATTCTGGTCCTTCCAGCGCTGCTTGCAAAGGGAGCTGCCCTTGCTGAGCTCAGGGGCGATATCACATTCGACATCGACCTGATTGGGATCCTGATAGGACGGCTGGATATGCAAAGTACTCAGCACGGCACCAGGGGGCACACGGATCTGGACTCCCAGGATGTTGCACATCTTCACAACACCACCACGGATCTTCACCCCCTCAAGCGAAAACATCTTGAGCTTCATATCTGTTTCGGTCAAGTCTAAATCCAAACTCTCAAATGCACCGTAGAGATCCTCGAGGTTCTCTTCGGTCGTCTTTGGCTGCTGCTTCTTGGCTGGCTTCTTGGCTGGCTTCTTGGGTGGTTCCGGTTCCTCGACGTCAGGTGGACCAGCAAAAGGTATGTCAGGATCAGGATTGGGCTCTTCAGGTGCTCCCTCGGGATCGTCTTCTCCAAGATCTCCTGGTTGCTGGGGGTTGTTGGCACAGCTACCGGCAAGGCCAGAGTCGGTCAAACCTGCTTCACGCTGGAACGAGGAGGTGTAACCTGGACTACAAAGCCAGTTCTTGAAACGGGTGACTTGTCGGTGGAAATTCGCGCGGACGAGCTTGGTATGGTCGTTGTCGGGGCCAGGATGGTCACCAGCGATGGTCTGGACCAAAACTTCGTTCTCAGAAAGGAAGGTTTCCCAAGAGTAGTCTCCGTCCGAAGGAGAGGTATCAAGTGCTTTGGCTGCCAAAGCTTGTTTTATGAACCAACGAACCATGTTGGCTGCGTGAGGTCCATTTGGTTTGAAGTTCATCTTCTTCTTCGCCATGTTTGTATTTTATGAGCAACGAGCGAAGACAACCAACAACCGCTCAAAAAGCAACAGACAACGTTAGGCAGCAGCGATGTAAGTAAGGGTAGCATTGCGTGCCAAGCTGTAAGTACGGGCCGAGATTTTCGTGCAAAGCGCCATTGTGGCTCGATTCAAATAAGAAAGATTACAGTTGTTTTGAATTCAGAGGACTGAAAAGAGTGTCGATCAGCGATTGCCTCGCGCAGTTTGGGGTGCAGAACTCAATTCACCGTACATTCTACGAATTCCCCTTTATAGAATGACATTTTGGTTGATTTCTGCTTCCGAGTTGGTTGATTTCTGCTTCCGAGTCGAACCGTTTGTAAACACCTTCCACCGCCTTCAACCGCCTTCAACCGACTTCAACCGCGCTGGACCGACCTCAACCGCTCGTTTTACCGCCTTATTACCGCCTGAATGACCGCCTGTTTACCACCTTCAACCGCCTTCCACCGCCTTCCACCACTCTCAACCGCCTGTTCTCGCGTGCTGGCGACCTTCAACGGCTCGTGCCACCTTTTGACTTCTCATTTGGTGCATTTTGACTTCTTTTCGGACGTCTGTTCCAGTAAAAAGGTTGGACTTGTATTGCAAGAAACGACATTCTTTTCTCGGTTGACAGCCAGGATTATCTAAGGAAAAAAACACAATCGAGATCCTTGAATGTCCTAGGCCTCCAAATCTGACACCAGGCTCTTCTCTGCGTCTCAAGGATTTAATATCATGAGAATTCGGCGAACTGAGGTGGACAAATTTCATCTGCAACGTCACTGACGCAGAGTCAGTTTAGCTTCTTTTTCCTGGCTTACAGTTCGCATTACTCCAGTGTATTCGGAACAGTTGCAGTTGGAGACTCAGTTGAGTGAGTGTGGTTGTTTAAAAGTTGCAGCATGTGCATTCGCCGAACGCATCTAGCTCTAATTCCATTGTACACCTGTACTAGCCAGTCTTAAGGAAGTCTGCTCCTCTTTCTAGCTAGCTAGCGATCTGGCCTCGCTAGATTCTTCTTCTAGCTCGCTACTAGCTAGATTCCCTCACTTTTTCCGACTCGACTCTTCAGTTTCGTCTTTTCATTTCCTCTTACACCATGACGGTTGCTCATTTACAACTACAGTACTAGTGCCAGCATTATCAAATCGCAACCATGACAACCCTCTTTGCGACGGAAGGGAGCTTCCTCTTGGCGGCCCAGCAAATCGTCAAGGCAAGAAAGAATCGCAATTTTAGATCCTACTTTGGTACCAGTCCAAAAGTGATGGCAGTGGCATGGAACATGTTTATTCATGGGAGCACGGAGGCCCTCAAGTTCAAGCATCTCTTGTGGGCTTGCATGCAGTTGAAGATCTACGGCACAGAAACTGTGCTTGCTGGAATTGTGGGTGTGGTTGAAAACACCTTTCGAAAGTTTGTTTGGATTGTGATTCCCTTGCTTTGTGGGTTGGTTCCTCGAGTGGTAAGTCGCGGCCATGGCATCTGTGTTTCCATTTGATTCTTTTAGCTAACATTATCTTGTTGTTTGCAGATGAAGTTGTCAGGCCGATTCCTCGATGACAAAGGCAGGACTTGCAAGCTGACCGTGGACTGTACTGATTGCATGCTTTTGGAGCCTTCGCCTTTCTCCAAGAAGTGGTACTGCTTCAAGCACAAATGTGCCCGCTATCGCTATGAGGTTGGCGTCTGCATCCAAACTGGCTACATTGTCTGGATCAATGGTCCTTTCAAGTGTGGCACCTGGAATGACTTGAGCATCTTCCGTCGGAATTTGAAGCATCGATTGCTTCCTGGTGAGATGGTGGAGTGCGACGCTGGCTACAGGGGTGACCCAAAATGCCGCCACAAGCACATCTTTCTCACCGATCGTGATGCTCGTGCCAAGGCACGTGCCCGGGCCCGCCATGAGAATGTCAACAGCGAAATCAAGAAGTGGAAGTGCACGGCCACACCATGGCGGCACGAAAGGCCAAAGCACAAGCTGTGCTTTGGGGCTGTTGCCGTGCTTACCCAAATTGGGTTCCAGGTGCATGGCATTCCCCACCATGTCACTTACTAGTTGGTGCAATGGTGGTGGTGGGCAACGGCGAGCTCCTTCTCAGCAAGGAGAGAAGCCCGATAGAGAATCGTTGTTCTGGTCTGCTTGGTTTGAAGAGTTTGCTTCAAGTCTAGTGGTGCAGAGCAAAGAGTCTCTTTCAGGCCTTCTTTCTCTGCTGTTTACTGTTTACTGTTTACTCTAACATTTGCGGCAATGGGAATGGGAATTTAATCTAGAGTTTGCCGTTGCACATGTTTCTTTGCTTTCCCCGTTTAGCTGCTAGCAGCCTCAATATCTAGCTAGGCAACCACCACCAACAAAGTTTTGCCACCATCTCTCCAGCCACCAGAATGGTGTCTTCCGGTAGTGGAAGAGAGTAGAGGACAAGATCAGTTATGCAGAGTTGGTTTGAGGCACCCCCCAGCTTGAATGGGTCTGCTTATTTCATCCACGAATTTCCAAAGTCTGGGGTGGTGGGCAATTGGCATTGCGTGCTGTCCTGGTTTCCTTATTTATTACAGCTCGCATACAACCGTGACAGGCAATTGTTGCGTCTGTTGTGGGAAGGCATTGAAGCCTGAATCTGTAGAACAGTCTACAGAATCTGTTCTGCAGTCTACAGTACATGTACATGTATGTACATGGTGTAGTCTGTGTATCTTGCTCAGCCTTTTCTTTCCCCAGTGCAGGAACTGTGGCTTGTGGGTGCAAGCAAAGATCGTGTTGCACTGGTACTTGTGCATGCATCACCAGTACATGGCCGGTACCAGTTGGTACCGGTACCGGTACATATAAGCTTATATGTAGCCGCACATACATGCAAAGGCCAGACAGAACAACTTCTTTCCCTCTTGTGTTCCTTTCGCTCCAAGCAGACCACGTCCACAACCGTACATTGCTGTACCACTGGTGAAACCGCACAACTTGAGGCCTCGAAAGAGCTCGAGCGCTCGAAAGCCCCACTGGCAACATCCCGGTGCAAACCATGCCTCGTAATCTCTTACTTGTATTTTTGCTGGATTGTGGACAGAAGGGGCATATGTGCGGTATAAACCAGGCCTCAAAATAAATGAGCCGTTGAGCGATCTTGAGACTGCCCAGGAAAGAACAGCTGCTCTTACATACAGTACCTCATACCACATA